AAAAGGAAGAAAAAACGAGGCAGGAAATCCAGCAAATCTCATTAGAGTAACAAATGCCAGTGTGACCAACATCAGCTCAGCCCAGTGAGAGCCATAGTTTGGAAGAAGGAGGTGGCTGTGCTGCCAGGGGCTCACACACCCCCATTGCTCTCACCCAGCCCCAACAGAGGCATTTTTACCCCCTGCTGCATTGGGCTGCTCTGCAAAGCAAACCCTGGTACATCCCATTATACCAAAATAGCAGATCCTCAAAAAACCACACAGAACTCCAGGTGCAAAGCTGAACTGAGCAGCAGTGCCTGAGTTACACCAGTATAAAGGGGATGGAGAATCCACACCTCAGCAGTAACACTGGTGACACTCTGAAAGCTCTGCCTGGCCTTGGGAAACACTGTCATCTGTGGAATGGGCATGTTGAAAAGGCTTTTCCAGGTTGTTTGCAAGATGCTGTCAGACAGCACTGACTTCCCTGCACCCCAGCATGTTCCATTGCAATGGTTTATGAGGGCAAAGTACATAGATGGCCTCCATCACCTGCCATGGAGCAGCGGTGATATACAAAAGCTAATCTTCATTGTAATATATCAAGACAGCACAATCCCTTGCAACTAAGAAGGAAAATAAATGAGTAGCAAGTGTACCCTACCCTGGGGTAAACCAGCATAGTATCATTTGTTTAGATTTTGAAAGGAATAATTGCACCTACCCTTGACTCTAAGTACCCATGTGTAATGGAGCAGACAGCAAATGCAATTAAATTAAACGTCAACAGCATTAAACAACAGTTCCTAACTCTCAACCTACCCATCCATCAGCTAACAAGCACCCTGAACTTCCTCCAGAGATCTCCACACCAGAGCTCTCCCTGCTCTTTAGCAGGTTAATTCACCATGTGCAGCATGGGAGAGGAGCAGCCCTTTCCACAGCCCCACATTTGGGAAGGGACCCCAAGTAATTCCCTTATGGACGCTGAGCTGAAAGGGACCTGCAAATCCACGTGCCATAAACCCCCATTTGTCAGTACCACAAACCAAAGGACTTTTGTCCCCCCTGTGAGCTGCGGGCCGGGGACAGGGCTGGTTTACTAAAGGTGAGGAGCCAAGAGCAGCGTCCCTCGGAGCAGTGGGTGTGTTCTGTCGCAGCCTAAACACACGAATCCCTCAATGCCAGAGAGATAAGGGGGGGAAAGCCCAAAGCAGCTGCACCAGATGGTGGCTTCCTCCAGAAAGCCGTATTTACGAGGAGCTCCCGGATCATCATCGTGCCGAGAGCAGCCGAAACCCCCCCCCTGCCCGGCACCAGCCTTGCACTCCCCCAACCAGGAGGTGCTGAGGGGCAAAAAAACCTTTCAGAGAGCGGAATGTGGCAGAGTGCTCTGCCCTAGCAGACGCAGGCCAGCGCTGGGAAGGCAGAAACAGCTCCAAATCCTCTTTGAGCCTCGTTGCAAGGCTGAGGAAGCTCCCAGCCCCGTGCAGGGAACATCTGTCTGCACCAGCACTGCCACAGATGTGCCTTGGGGGAATACATGGGGGAATCCCTGCAGTTTGTCCTTCAGTCTCTTTCCATCAAAGACAACTTGCTACATCTTTTGGGATTAGGATTATTTTTTTCTTTTAAGTCTTCTCAGTGACACCAAAGTAGCAGAGTTACTGCTGGGTTGCTGCTGATCTCTGCAGCTCCAGGACGGTGCCTCCTTGATGTACTGCCCAGCCATGCTCCCTATACCTGCTTGGATTCAACTCCTGCTCCCTTCCCACCATATGGTCTCTCTTCTCTTCCTCTCCCTCCTTGCTCAGGCGCCTTTCCCACGGAAACTTGCAGGAAAATGCAGCCTCCATCCTTCCCTCCAACGCTCCATAGGCACAGCCCTTTGTTTGGGGACACGGGGTGTCTCCTCAGCGGGTGTTAATTGGAATGGTCACATCAGCACTTGCAGTACCGAGAGCCAGAGGGCACCAACCTGGTGCTGCCCAGGATAGTTTGCATCTGCAGCCCTCTCCCAAACAGGATTTGGCAGTGTCAAAGCTCCCATTTTTTCAGTTGGAGACTGGCCATTTCACAGTGGTGCCTTCAGCATAGGCAGGATGTGGAGGGATGGGGCACATCAAGCGGACACACAGCACAGCCACTCCCCATCACTTTATTTCTCCTCCTGCATCCCTAGGGGAGGGGGAAGGGAGGCATCAGCGTATCTGCTAAATTAGGGCAAGTCCTTCAGCACTGGCTGGCTGATCTGACAGTGGAGAAGCAAAGAGGAATACAAAAAAATTGTGGGAAAACCATAGTACTATGCAGAAAGAATCCCTGAATTCCTAAATAGTTCTTTCCCCTCTCCCTAACAACTTAGTGAAATTTCACGTTCAGCCTCAGGTTTCTGAGGTCTCCAAGGAGAAGAGCTGAGTGGTCCCCCAGCCCATGCAGAGACACAATTAGTACAAAGATCAAGAGGGATCTGGTCTAAAGATGACATTAAAGCACTTCCACACAGCATCCCCTCCCTCCCCGCAGTCCTGCAGCCAAGGGGAGCCAACAGGTGGGGAAGAGGACTTGGGCTCAAGGGGGTGGATGAGACAGGATTACCAAGGATGTTTTAAGTGGCTGGTGGGCAGAGAGTGAGGAAGTACATGTGTGACAATAGCTGAGGCAGTTAAAAGACATTAAAAGAATCAATTCCCCCATGTCCTTCAATCCTGGAGTCTCCCAGGCCCTTATGCTCAAAATGGAAACGAAGAATCAATTTCCTTCTCGGAGCTCAGCCCCGTTCTTTCCTCTTTCCCACTCATCCCCAAACGCTGCCCATTTCCCCCATTAAATTATTGCTGACAGAGCCCTTTAAATTACAATGCAGGATCTTGCACTGCCTAATCCACTTAACTCAACCCCAGCTGATTAAATTGGATGCCATATGGTGGGAGAGCACTGGTGTAATCCGCAGGGACGGGGACACACTTGATTCATTACCTGGAGCACAGCAGGGAGCCCTCTCACTACACACCTCTGCTTTAGGGCCCTGCTTCCTGCCAGGGATGTGATTTCCAAGGTGCTGGTCTCCAGCAACAACACCAGCTCTGGCAAGGTGGTGGTGGTGACAATAAATACAGCCCCAAGCAGCTTAAAGGCACAAATTATCCTCTATCTCTGCTGGCATCTGGTTGTTCCCCCAGCCCCAGCTGGTGCAGCAAACACTCAGTCTTCCAAGAGCACTTTATAAACTAGGGAAATTTGGTGCTTGGAAAAAAACAAACAGGTAGAAGGAGGTCTGTCCATGAGGAAACGTGCCAAGTAACTTGATTGCACAGATAGCTGGGTTTGCAGCCCTCAGACTGGGTCACTGTGCAATGACGAGGATTATAATTAAAAAGGTCACAGCCTTTTTAATAATAACAGCTTGCAATGCAGGGCACAGCTGGAGAGAACATTCCCATGGTAAAGAGGAGATTCGAGGACACACTGAGCAGCTGTTGGCAGGAAAACATCTGGGGAAGCCAGTGCAAAGAAACACAGCCATCACCCAAACTAACAACATCAGCACATCCCACAGCACAGTGTTATCCATCAGCAAAGCCCCATCCCAAACACTGACAGCACTACAGCACTCGTGTCTGAGGTCACTGTGAGCCTCACCTTGTGATGTGTGAGAGATCAGGGCTTCTCCCAGGCTCAGAATACACCTTTGGCAACCTGGTGCCCCTTCTTCTTGCCTTAGGGACCAACTATCCCTCTTTCCCAAACAACTGCATGGCCAAATTAGCCACTGGAAGAAATTTTAGCTGCTTGCAGCCCGGGCAGAGCCTTTGCAAAACACATCTGTAGCTGCAGACTAGAGAGGAGTATTATGACAGGGTGAGAAAATGCCAGGGCAGGAGAACCCAGTCCCCTCACACACTGAAGGACTGTCACTCCTTAATTACCTAAGACTGCATGATTACCATACTGGAGAGAGAGCAATAACACACACCAGGACCTGTTTCCTTACCTTTTTGAAGGTTTAAGGTCAGATTTTCAGTCTGCCATTGTAGGAACCGTTAATTCACCTCTAAAAGCAACAGGAAAAGTGAAACCCATGTGACCATAGGTCAGGCTTTAAGAAGACAAGTAATTCCTGTGAAAGCAAGGGCTGTTCCCAGAGACAGCTGTGCCATCCCAGCCCTGCAAACAGCATCACCTGTGTGCTCAAGCTTTGGCCCACACAGGACTCACAGAGTCTGGGGCCTTTAACTTTACCCAGCAGCAGCAAAACCAGCATTTTAAGCCAACTACACTGCCAACATCTACTTTCCCCTGCACTTCTCCTGAAGTCCAACTATTTCAGTAACTTCCCAAGGGCATTTAGAGGTGGCAGAGAGTGAACACAAAAGGGGTTTGTCCTTCCCCTGGAGCTGCCCCAAGGGGAGAGCCAGAGCTGCAGACCCTGGTGCTGCTGGGGTGGCACATCTGGGAGGTGCCTCCAGCCCCCTCGGGCCACACGTGGCTTTATTACTCCTGTCAGTCTATTAGTGGGTGATGGATGGAGGCTGACAGGGAAGGTGAGGTGCTCCCTTCATTAGAGATAATAATATAATTTACGGAGCAGCCCCAGGGCCCCGCAGGGCTTTACCAACCTTCGCTCTCATTCTGACAGATGCTGAGTCCCTTTCAGCCCTTCAGCTCTTGGTGGTAGGGGATGGAGGTGCTGAGCTCCTGCCACAGCCCAGCCCCAGGGGCCCGATCCTGGCTACACAGTGTGCAGGAGGGTTTTGCAGCCAGCCAGGCACCAAATCCTCATTGCATGGAGGAGTTGCAGAGTGCAGAGCTTGGCCTCTGCTTGCTCCTGCAGACCAGCAAGATCCCAGATCCTGTGTGTTCTGTAAGTCCTGCATCCAGGACAAAATGTACCAGTAAAACTGGCACCAGTAAAATGTGCTGCTGAGCTTGATCCGGCGTCAATTTTGGGGGGGATCCCACCACACCCACCTGTGGAGCTGTGGGAACTGCAGCAGCTTTGTCCCTCTGCTTTTCAGACCTGCACTTGGCCGCAGAGCTGGGGAAGACGCTGCTGGAGCGCAACAAGGAGCTGGAGGACTCCCTGCAGCAGATGTACACCACCAACGAGGAGCAAGTGCAGGAGATCGAGGTAGGGCCACTGCTGTCACCTGAGGATGAAGGAAAGGGGCACTTCCACCAATGCCAACAGCTCAGATGCCAGCAGAAAGAGAGGGATGTGCCATGAGGCATGGGAGTTAAAGGATGTTCTGTACATGCTTGAAGAGGGATGGACGGAGATCCCTCTTCTCGCATCCCCACCCCCTGCCCAGATGTGCACACCAGATTTTGGCGCCAGATTTTGGCACCAGGCTGCATCTGGGTCACGTTTGGCCTTCCCCTGCCCTTCCACCAGGCTTCACACTCTTTGCTCTGCTGCAGCTTTCCCTTGATCCCAGTTATTCAGAATCGCGTTTGTTCCCAGCTGGCCCCTCAGCACCCCCACAAACACAGCCCCCTTTGTTAGAGGCATAAAATAGCTCTTTTTCCAAGAGCTGCAATCTAAACCACCATTTCAAGCATCCTTTGGGGTCATTTCTAAGAGCCCACAGAACTGATCTTAGAGGCTTAAACCTGCTGTGCCGGGAGGGTTTTCATCCACTGGAAAACTTCTAGGGATCTGTGAGTTGAAAAAGATTGGACACCCCCTGATTAAAAGGACACAGGGCAGAGGAGGGCTGCGAGTTCACAAGAACAGCACATGATGCTGCAGGGATCTGACAGCTAATGTTCAAGGGAACTGGTGGATGGATTTAGCCATTCCCCCTCCAGCAGCCCTTCAGAAGCAGGTCCACTGTAGGATTTGGGATCTGGTCCCGGCTGAGAGTGAGCAACTGGGTAGATGCTGCTCTCCCAGTCTTCACAGGATAAAATCTTACAGTGTCAAACTCACAGAAAAGGGTCTGCAAACCCATAGAAATCACAGGTCTCCTCATGTTTCACAGACTCAGAGTTTTAGCCTGAATCCCCACAGAAACACGGCTTCTGCAATCGATCTGTCAGATGATGCTGTAACCAACTGGCCAATTTCAGTCAACTTTCCATCTCAGGGATATCAACTTTCTTTGGTACTGGGAATAAAAAAGCAGCTGAATAGAGAGAGATTGAGGTTAGTGCCCTTCACAGAGGGCAGGGGAAGTTCAGTCCTATTTTAGACACAAAACCATTTACAGTGGGCAGGAGGGATGAATATTTCAACTGTGGAAGAGGCTTCACCCAGGCAGAATCACAAACCACATTTATCAGAGGAAGCAAAGGCTGTAGGAATTTCTGCCTGCGAAACAACCTGGATTTTGGTTGTGCAGTGCTTATGCTTCACTTTTTCTTGCAGTACCTGACTAAGCAACTGGAGATGTTGCGGCAGATGAACGAACAGCACGCGAAAGTCTACGAGCAGCTGGACCTGACAGCACGGGACCTGGAGCTGGCTAACCAGAAACTCGTGCTGGAAAGCAAGACTTCCCAACAGAAGATCCAGTGGTACAGCCTGCCCTCCTCTCACCACAGTGATGCTGCACCAAGAGCCCTTCACCTCACTTTTCCCCTGCCCCAAAGCACAGCCTGTCCTTGATATTTGAGCCATTCTCTTATCAGTCCAGTTTTGGAGCTATTTACCACACAAGTCCATTGCAGCAGTGCTGGTTAGCAGGAGTCAGCCGCAGCACAGACACCCCTGGGATGAGGGCTGGATAAGGAGTGTCTGAAGCTGCCAGGAAAGAGGCACAGGAGCCCCTCCTCAGATGAGTTTCCTTGAAGAGGCATATAATCATTTCAGGGAGGTCCCCAGCACACAGCCCAGCAGAAACATGTGGCACAGATCCAGCATCTAATGAAACCCTGGCTATTCCCTGCTGAAACACCAGTTTATCAATAATATTTCTTTCCTAAAACAAGCCCATGATCAAGGTCATCCCTAGAAACAACACCCTAAGCCATGTCCTTGCAGGGCAGCCTCATTTGCAAACAGCTGTGTGGAGAGGGAGTTTCAGAGCAGAGAGTTTTACAAACTATTCACAGCCAAAACAAAACTAACTCTCTGCTCAGTCTCTGTGTTTACCTCTACAAGGTAAACAAGGGGAAGTGATGCTTGTTTTCAGAGGAGAGATATTCAGGATAGTGCTTACATCCCAGAGGAGACTGTTTCAGCAACTGATTTGAGGACAGAAGGTCTCAAATCAATTCCCCCCTCCTTTCTATAATCACTCCCACTCAAGAGTGACCGCAAGAAAGACCAACCACTGGCACAAAAAGCAAGTGCTGTCACACTCCCAGGGCACATGCTGGGACTGGCTCTCTCTATGGGGGAAAAAAACACCTTTCAGGATCCTGTAGTGTCTGACTCCTCACCTCTGTTCTGACTTCTCTCTCTGCAGCTTGACAGAAACAATCGAGGGGCTGCAGAACCAAGTGGAGGAGCTGCAGAAGCAGGTGGAGGAAATGCGGAGCTTGGAGCAGCTCCGCATCCGGCGGGAGAAGAGGGAGCGGCGCCGAACCATCCACACCTTCCCCTGCCTTAAGGAGCTCTGCTCCAGCCCCAGGTACAGAGCCCTGGGTTCAGCAGCCCCTCAGACCTTCTCTCCTCCTCCTCCTCTGCCCATGAACAGGGGGTGCAGTGGGTGAGCCCCTCTGGAGGTGCACAGAAACCCACACACAGCCCCAGAGAGTCGAGGCTGTGCCTCAGAGCCTGAAACCCACAGCTGGAGGGGAAGGGAGGATGTCCCTCTCTTCTACCCACCCAACTGAAGTGGTGTTGGCAAAGCAGAGCCTTCATGATCCCAGCAGAGTGATGCTTTCCTTCCCAAACCAGCACAGCCTATTTTCCCTTCCCAGCTGCCTCCCAGCACAGCACCAGCACCTCTGGCTCTCTGAAACCAGCTGAGGTGGTGCATTTTGTACTGTGTGACTACAGTACACCCCAGGAGCACCAGTCACACACCCAGACACCACACGCTGCCAGGTGCTGTACCAACACCTTCAGCACTATTGCAGCCTTAATTCTTCTTAAAACCTGGCCACTGTGTTAATTCACTGATCTCGTGAGGGCACTTCTTGCTCAGCTTTGTCCACAGTAGAGGCTTCTTTAAATAGATAAGCAATCAATAAACTTTGTTACTGAAAGCACCCTCTGCCAGAGGATATGAACCAAAGACAGTTTCACTGCAGCAGCAACGGGAATGTTTATGAGGCCATGACCTAACCCCCAGCAAAATCCACTTAATGTTTTTGTGGTTCTTTACCCCCCAGTCCCCCAATCCCACTTTCCCCCCTATGCCATGGGACCTCGGTTCCACTTGCAGCTCCACAGTTGGCTCTGAAGGTCAGGCTGCCCTTCAGTGCCTTGAAATCTGTTCAATACCCCCCACCACAACTGTGCCTCCCAGGGGAAGCCACAGAGCCTGCTCTTTTCCAATCTGTTCTAAACAGACAGGATGCCATGGGCGCTTCATTGAAGAGGAAAACCCGAATTCCCAACAGCAACATAATGGAAGGGGGAAGTGCTTGTTATCACTTCCCAGGCAGTGAAGAAGGGGAAACTGTCAAAAGTCTCTACCTTCCTTGTATAAATCTTCTCCCACTCCCTCTGGAGCATCTCCTGGACAGACACAGGGGTGCACAGGGCAGCAACACATGTGCTTCTGGGTTTTGGCTGGCTGGGATTTGGGGTTGTTGGCAGATAAGGTGAGTAGCTGATGAACTCCAGCAGGAAAAACCCAAAGCCAGCCACTTTCAGCTCAGGCTGATAGCGCTTGAACATTCATACTTGCTTCACAGCAATGTTGGTGGCTTGTCTGTTAACCTCATGATCTCTTACCATTTAGGGTCTCATTTCCCTCCTGTCTTTTATAACTGCTGTCAAATAAAACTGCAGGTTCTCTGGGACAGAGGCTGGTCTCTGTGTTCAGAAGAACCCCAGCCACACCTTGTGGTCTGCTGGCACACGGAGGTGGCACATCTCGCTCCACGAGCTCAGGAGCTAAGTCCTTTCTGGGCATCAGTGGAATTCCTTACATGACAATAAGACACAAGTCCCTCATCAAACCGTCACTCAGTCAGAATCTCTCAAGGATCTTTCCTCTCTTTCAGGTATGAGGATGCATTCCAGGTCCACAGCTCTTCCACAGAGTTCAACCAGAAGCCACTGGAGAGGGAGAACGAACGTCTCCAAGCCATGGTGAACTCCCTGAGGTCCCAAGTCAACCAGGAGAAGCAGCGGAAGGAGAGGGTGGAGCGCGAGTACACCTCTGTTATTCAGGAGTACTCGGACCTGGAGCAGCGGGTGTGCGAGATGGAGAACTGCAAACTGCGCATCAAGGAGCTGGAGGCAGAGCTCCTGGAGCTGCAGCAGATGAAACAAGTCAAGAAGTATTTGCTCAGCAGAGAGGACAACTTGTCCGAAGCCCTCCTCGAGCCGCTGAACAACGCCCCGGAGGCAGATTACATCGACCTCTCCGAGGAGGAGGGAGGGAAAAGCCACGGGACATCCATGACACCGTCCCCGAACCACCCCGTCCGGAAGAGCTGCAGCGACACGGCCCTGAACGCCATCGTGACCAAGGACGCCGTGAGCCGGCACGAGGGCAACTACACCCTGCACGCCAACAACGTGCGCAAGAGGGGCATGTCCATCCTGCGGGAGGTGGACGAGCAGTACCACGCCCTGCTCGAGAAGTACGAGGAGCTCCTGAGCAAGTGCCGGCAGCACAAGGACAGCGTGCGCCACGCGGGGGTCCAGACGTCCCGGCCCATCTCCCGCGACAGCTCCTTCAGGGACTTCCGAGGGGAGGCACACGAGCTGGAGGAGCGGAAAACCATGGAGAAGACCATCAGCAAACACGTGGAGGCCGTGGACAAGCGGCTGGAGCAGAGCCAGCCGGAATACAAGGCTCTCTTTAAGGAGATCTTCTCCCGCATCCAGAAGACAAAAGCAGACATCAACGCCACCAAGGTGAAAAACAAGAGCAGCAAATGAGTCCCTGGCTCTCCGCAACTCTCCCACGTGCAATTGCAGCAGCCACGTCTTCTCTTCAGCCCCAGGAAACGCCACGTGGCCCCTCTGCTTTGAAGGTTCGAGAGGTCTGCAAGCGAGGAAACGTCCCGGAGACTCAACTCACGTTTCTTAAGTTTGGGCTCCGGACAACTCGTTGGGACAATTGTACATTGTAGTTAGAGGATTTCAGAAACCACATGACGGATCTCTGCATGAGTTACTGCCGCTGCCAGACATCACAAGAGCAATGTAAAACACGAAAAAAGGAAAACCGGTCACCTCCTCCGCCCCTCTCCAGCTTGTCCCGCAGCCCGATTATCTGCAAGCAAAAGCCTGGATGTCCTCCAGCGTCCTGCCACAGCTGGAGCACAGCGTTTCAAAGTGAAACAAAAAGCCATCAGAACTTTAGGGGCTGCCCCAGCACAGCAGCCCAGCCCTCCACTGTGGTTTTATGGCTAAGAACCTATGCTTGAACCCAAGAGACTTCAGTCTCTGCCTTCCCCTCCCCCAAAGGGCACTATGGTCTTGCAATTTAAGCCATTCTCTAATCAGTCAGGTTTTTCAGCTCTTTACAATGCAAGCTCATTGCAACTGGAAAAACTTGAAGAGAATCATAAAACTGATTGTTCCATCTCCATTGGCTCAGCGTTTCAGTCCCTACTCTCCAGACCTTGTAGCATATGGGATCTCCTCGCTTTAAATATGCCCTGGTATTTCAGCCCAGGTGAAACACCAGGCCTGGTAGGAACTTGGCAACCAGGGCTTTCCCATAGCTAGACAAGTGCAGTGTCAGAGACACGCTTCCACCTCACGCTCTGGGTACCAGCTGTGCTCTTCAAGAGGTTGTCATTGTCCCATCATAGCCAATTCCTCGTACACAGCTTGCATGGGCTTGCAAAACTGACTCCCAGGGACTCAAACGCAGGCTGGAGGACACAGCATCTCCCTGGTCAGGAGCTCTGGCCCTGGCAGATCACACACCACCCCACACTTTGCTCTGAACATCTCCCCAGCCACAAGGACAGATTTCAGTTTCCTGCTGAAAATGATCTCCCTTGGCTGAGACACTCTCCAAAGGCTGTCGCCTCTCGTGTTCCATCTCCCTTTCCAGCACTGAAATCTCCTCACTTTTGCTTCCACAGACATGCAAACACACAGCCAAAAGGCCACTGCAGTCTCAGGAATCACCAGTTTCCAGTTTTCATGAACTAGAGTTGGCCTCATATGGTCAGACATGTTTTAGGCAGAGAAGCAGCATTTCATTACAGCTTAGGCAACACCCTGAGCCACAAAACCAGTTCAGTGTAAGCTCCTGTTCTGTACCTGCCTGGAGAAAACTATCAGCTACATCTGGATTCTATTTTCACCAGCTTAAATCCCAAAGTCTTGGGCCAACAGCTGGGACTCCTGCAACACTGAGATAAACAAATGAGAATGTGGCTTTGGAGGGGGAAGACTGTTCAGATGTAATTATCCCCCGAGTCCAGGGCCTTGATGTTACAAGGAGCGACCTTTCTTCCAATCCCCATGGAATTCATGCAGAAACACCCCCCAAAACCACCCTGTTTTGTTAAGCTGAGTACCACAGAGGTAAGTTGGCAGGAGTGTGATGCCCAAATCACCCCTGCTCCACAGGTCTCCTCAAAACCACCCACCACTCTGCTCTTCCACGCTCTGCATTTCCAGGTGCCCCACGGCCCCAGACACACCTGGAGCCGTGGGCACAACTGTGGCTACCAGCTCTGTAACTGTATGGAGAACCTTCATGCCTTATTTATTTATAATGGAAAGCAGTTGTCTAAAATAAAATAAAATAAATAAAAACGAACAACAATAGCAACAAGAGCAGCATCATTGATTTTCTGGGAGCATTCACCACCTCGTTAACTCAGCACGTGGAGCAGTGTTGGTTTAAGCCCATCCTGTGTTTGCCCTGCACTCAGCTGATGCTGCAGAGGTGTGGGAAGAGAATCACCCTCACTTTCCATTTTAAACAATCCCACACGGATCAGCATCACAGTTAAGTGTACAACACATCAAACATATTTTTAAATGCTTTATTCTCTCCTCAAATAAAAAGAAACACAGGGATTCTCAACGCTCTTACAGCTCTTTTTACTTTTTAACAACAGCAGAAGAGTTATGTCTTTGATTTTCATGTACAATTTGGGTCAAGAAAGTGCTTCAGGCTCCTTTGCAGGAAGCAAAGAGAATATGCTGAACTGTTCTGCTGCATTATTTATATAACATACATTTTTATGCACTTGGACTGTAACACTTGCCACGCGATAAAACTCCTCTTCTGTCAGCTCGGAAGTCTCTGCAAAACCACACAATTTCCAAGCTCCCAATTCAAATCCTATTTTTGTTTTGGTCTTTTTTGCAAACCACAAATCCAAAAATGACTGATGTGAGTAACATGATATTAGTACTTGGCTTGACAAAGGCGCAGCTGCCGTGTATCAGCAGCGTGTTCTGCAAAGCGCTGAGGGCAATTTTTGTCAGCATCCAAAAATATTAGTGGCCATATATACACATACTGATGACTGTGTGAGTCACAGTCACTTGATTTTTGTCTTAAGTGAGGCTTTCAGCGATCAAAGGAGGAAAAAATAATCAACTTCTGGCCTTTTGTGCCACCTTTGATCTAAACTTTTCCAATTGCTTTTAAAACATCAAGGAAAGCTACACAACTCCATTAAGAGGGGACAGGAGAGTATTAAGCAACCACACTGCCAGGGAAACCGGGGTAATAGAGAGCAGCAGCTACGTAACAGCACACCCCCATGGTTCATGACAGAAAGAAAAATGCTGCACACAGTTAAAATGGATGAGAAAAAGTGTGATAGAACAGGAAATAATTTCAGAAGTTGGCAAAATCAGTGACCCTACTCAGCTCACAGCAATAAGATCAATAAGGGCACAGCTTGTCAAGAAGTTGAAAGATGGCATCTAGACACGTGCAGTTCCATAAGATCTAGTCTGGCTTCTTACCACACCACCAGTTCGAATAACCCTTCTGAAACAAATAGGGAGGGGTCACTTGAAGCACAAATTCAAGGGGTTTATAGAGCTCAAACTCTCACAGGGAAGGAGATCTGATTCATCAGTATTCACTCTCTTACAGGAGTTGAGACCTTCTGGAAGGTCCCTCAAAGTCCTGATTTGCTCCTTCATTAACAGCTTGTGCCCTCACTCACACAAGGGGTGGCTGGCTCCTTGGACACATCAGCCCTTCCCTCAGGTTTCAGGGATGGCTCCTTTCAGCTCTTGCTCAGCAGTGACCACCAAACAGGGTGCATTGGCTTCCTCAGCCCCCATCAGTGCCAAAGCACTTCATTTCTTCAGCTGGAAAGCCAAAAGTTTGGCTCTCCTTGGCTCATGCCAAAGTCAGACCTTGTCATCCCAAGCCCTGCCTGCCGAGGAGAGCTGTTTCCAACCATCCAAGCAGAGATTATTCAGCTTTTTACCAAGGCTCTTTGGACCAACACAGTGTGGGAACAAAGCAAAACCAGATAAATGTCCTTTTAGACTGGTCTGGCTTCGCCTGTGAGACCTTCCAGCTCCTTTGCCAGCCCCTCTGTTCCCCACACACCCTTGGAGGGTATTCCTGCACAACCAGACATGTGTGACAACAGCTGGTAAATGAGTCATCCTGCTTGGTGTATTTTAGACAACCCTCTGGCTACAAATCACAAACATTTACCTGTTCCCTGTTAGAAATTAAGGTCACCAGATGGCACGGTTTGTCTCCAACAGCTCTGGGTTTTTTCCTTAAAGCATTTTGTTTTCAGTTGAGTTTGGAGGGGGGAAGCAGAGCAGCACCCCAGGACTCAGGGACTCAATTAAAACAAAGTGAGGAGCCCTCCCCCCCTGGCCCTGAGCTGCTCAGTTACGGTCAGGACAGACCAGCCATCCATGTTCAGGACCTGCTCCCTTCCCAAGGACCGAGTTCCCTGATTTTGCACTGATTATCTGGATGGGACTCAGCTCAGATCCTCAGTCACAGTCTCTATATCAGCTTCTGAACACCCATTTTGACTTCATCCGCGGGTTTCAACAAGAGATTGTCAGCTCCTGTCAAAACACCAGAGCAAATGACAGCCCATCCCTGCCTGTGCATTTTCCTGCTGCCAGGAATAGCAATCCCTGCCCCTCTGGAACGCACACCCTTCTTGTCAAGCCAGCCTGACAGCTCCAAGAGGAGTAAAAGCTGAAAGATTTCCACAGCTGCCTCACTGACCTGCATCCCACATCCACCTCAGCATCTCTTACAGACCCAGAATCAGCATTCAAAGAAATAATTGTGTATATATATGTGTGTGTGTGTGTTTATAGAACCTTTTAGCATTCTTGAGCAGATAAGAACACAAAAGCTGAAGGATCCCAGGTGCAAAAACTAGACAATACATAAAAAAGGCCGGATGTGTTTTCCAGCACTGGCCATCACTGCTCTGCTCACCAAGGACCAGGGAGGGTGCAGAGACCCCATAACCACCCCTGACCTCCCTCATCCCCTCAAGGTGCTCTACACACCCCATGTGCCCCACAGACGCCCCACATGCCCCTCTCTTGGCACCCCACAGACCCTACATCCCCCTCTCAGACCCCCTCATATCCCCCTCACGGTGCCCCATATACCACAAGACTTTTAAACCTCCCATTAATGCTCCAGCCACCCCGCAGCCCAGGACATCACACTCCCCCACGGATTACCGCAAAGCGATCCATCGCCAAATGTGTATCGTCCGTCACGCTCCGCCACCACGCCTATCTTTATCCCCGTTATCCCACCCTGGCGCTCCCGCCTGCCGGCCCCGCCCCGGAACGCGGCGCGGGCAGCCGTTTCGCGGGAACGCCTGGCCTGGACGCACCGGGGGCCAACATGGCGGCGCACGAACGCGCGTGCGGCCCTGTGCCGGCCGCAGCGGGCTGGCGCTTTCTGTCGCCGGTGCTCGCTGTGGGCCGGCATCGGCACCGAGTACCGGAGCTCGACAGCCTGGACAAGCTGTACCGCCGCGGCAGACAACAAGCGCCGCCCGCAGCCCCGGTAAGCGGGGCAGTGGGGAGAGAAGGGAGGGCGAGGGGCGGTGCCGTGGGGCGGGAGTCGAATGTGTGATTGACATTGGGCGGGCGGGGATCCAATTGAGTGTAATGTTCGGTGGGCGGGGTCGCGTAAGGGGCCGGGCTAATGGGGTGGGCGGGGCTTAGCACGAGGGGATCTATGCGGGTGGGCGGGGCACTGAGGGGGCGGGCTTAGCCTGGGTATGTGTAATGTGGGTGGGCGTGGTTTAGGCGAAGGGGTGGGGTTTAGTGCTCATAATCTGTATATGGGCATGTGGGCGGGGGCGTGGATTGGTAGAAGGCGGCGTGGTCTCTGTGGGTGGGCGGGGCCAGGCCGTGTCGAGGTGGGACCGCGCCCACCGGGACGGGCGGGATTCCCGGGACCCCCCGAATCCCCCGGGATCCCCCCGACACCGCCCCCGCCGTGTTTTCCAGGAGCAGCCGCCCACCCTCGACATCCCCATGGGTGAGTCTCCCCCCGACACACCCGGGCCTGGGCGCCCTTCCTGGGCACCGAGTCCGTGCGCGGAGCTGAACGCGGGATCGGCCCCATCCCGGCTCAGCACGCGGCTGCCCTTCCCTTCCAGCTCGCCTGACCGTGACCTACAGTCGGAGCAGTGGCCCCGGCGGGCAGAGCGTTAATAAAGGTGAGGAATGGCTTCTCTCACGTGGAAAAATCAGCAGCAGCATCCACTGTTTTTCTGTACTGTGTGGCAAAATATTGAGAACTCAGAGTTAAACAGCATCATCACTCATTTTTCATTATCATCACCCTGCATTTTAACACAGCTTCTGAGCCATCATGGGGCTCGAGACCACTGGCAGCACATTTGATTCCCCTAGAAACACTCTTACAGGGATCGTTCCTGCAACATGGAACACCCCCACCTCTATCCACTCTGTTTTCGTTGATCACTCCACTGTGCAATAAATTCTCAGTTTAACTCAAAAAAACTGAAATACTGCCTGTTCTGCCATTGCCATTAAAAATAAGGTGGCTAGTGACTGGCAATAGCAATTAATCCTGTGGTGCCTAGAAAGGCAAACAGCATGACAGGCACAAGTTTGTCTTGCAGAGTGGTGTGTAAATACATAGCAAGAAAAATACTCATCTTTCATTAATAAATACTGGAATAATAATTAATTCATTAATAATACTGGAATTATCCCATGCTCAAAGCCAGCAGTGAACAGTGTGAATTGTCTCATAAAACTTACAGAGGCAGGCTGTGACATGGAAATAAAGTACCTGTTTTTCCTCCCAGTGAATTCCAAGGCAGAAGTTCGGTTCCACCTGGAGTCGGCAGACTGGATTCCTGAGGCTGTGAGACAAAAAATGGCACTGATGGTACCGACCCTCCCCCTCCGGCCTCGGTTTAAACGTCTCAGGGAGAACAATCCTAAGGAGGTTTCAGTGATCACATGACATTTTCCCCTCCTTCAGCACAGGAATAAGATAAACCGGCATGGGGAGCTGATTGTGACCTCAGAAGAGAGTCGCTACCAAATGAGGAACCTGGCGATCTGTTTGGAAAAAATCCGAACCATGGTCACGGAGGCCACGGAGAAACCCAAGGTGGTGTCTAAGGAGACAACACAGCAACTCATAGAGAGGTATCTTCATTAAAATGGTCTTTGCTTGGATTCAGGCTGTCATGTTACACGATTTAGTTTGCAGCACCTCTAAACAATCTTCTTCATAGTCATTTGGATTTCCTTTTTTAAGAAAAATCACTGATCCATTAGATTTTAACTGCTTTCCAGGGTAATGTCCCCAGAACAGGGACTTTCTCCTACCTGTGGATGTTTGTTGGCTCATCAAATCTCAAAGCTGAATATTTAAATGTGTTCTTTGTACACTAAACGATCTTTTTGTTTTAGGGTGGAAAAAATGAACCGCGAGCGACTACGACAGAAAAGGATACACTCAAACATAAAACAGAGCAGGAAGGCGGATTTTGACTGAGAACAGCAGAGATCCAAGTCCTTGGCATTCCATCTTCCTAAATAAGTGGCACTGGCAGCTGTAGATGATGCTAAACTCATGAGCTATATTGAATAAAAATGGTCTAAAAGTGTAAATAAAAATATTTAACATCTTTTGAGCCCAGCGATACAGCTGAACATCCTGTCAATCATTTTTCAGAAAAATTATTTTTCACATTTGAGAGAAACTAAGAATTCTGATTTTTGTCAGCTACTCTTTTTTTTTTTCAAGTTCTTTGTGTCCTCCATGCAGCCTGTGCTCCATCAGAGCACCCTCTGCTGCTGAACACAAAGCCAGCAGTAGATTTTTAGGGAAAGAAGGGAAGAGTTAAAAGCAGTCTTAACTATGTGTCTAACTAGCATATAAAAGCATAGAATCATAAATCATTAAGGTTGGGAAAGACTTCTAGGATCATCGAGTCCAACTCTTAGAGTATTCACTGTTTCTTTCCTTGATTTTTATCTAACAAAAAGAAGTGCATGTCATTTTGTTAAGCTCAAACCACGGCAGGAATTTGGCACAAATCTCAGCACTAGAAGACAGAACCCACCTTGTGAGTGCAGGAGGCTTCTGGCCTTCAAGTTGGGACTCCAAAAACCTCCAGATGAGTCTTTGGATGAGCCTGTCAGGATTCAAGATTTGCTCATTAATGGACGCTGTTTAACGAGAATGAAGCTGGGGTGTGATGTGGGTTTCACCACTGCCAGATGGGTTTGCTTGGGGGGCTTAAAGAGACCAAAATTACCCTTTTTTTGAAGGGTGACAGGGCCCCGGTGGCCTAATGGATAAGGCACTGGCCTTCTAAGTCAGGGATTGTGGGTTCGAGTCCCACCTGGGGTGAGGAGAGATGGTTCTGTTTTAGGAAAACCCCAAATAAGAGAGGAATGTGCTCACTGTTGATCCCTGGGAGGGGTCAGGGCTCTGCTCTGCACCCTCGTGGCTCTGCTACAGTCCGTGCCCATCCCCCTTGGAAGGGGGGGCTTTGAGCTCTCCCCTGACACAGCATTTACATCTACAAAAAGAGGAGAGCTCATACACCCCAGATCCTCTCCAAAATGGGGTGCCAGGGGGATGCAGGATCACACCAATGTATCCTGACATCCTTCCCAGGAAACCCAACCCCAGGCTGGCTCTACTTCTCCACACCCTGCCCAGCACCAAGAGCAGATATCGTGTTTTCTCCCACCTAAAGCTTTTTTAACACGGAATCATGGAATCACTCGGGTTGGAAAACACCCCTAAGATTATCAAGTCCAGATGTATTCCTGGCAACAAAAGCCATTACACCAGCACCAACTGGCAGCTTAGCAGCAGCCTCAGCTGAGCCCTCCCCTCACCAGGAGACCTCACCGCCAGGATCACCCACTGCTCAGGTCTCTTCTTCTCAAGATCGTAGCGTAAGATTTGCAGAATTATAGTTAAAGAAAAAGCTTAAAGCCCTGGAACCAGCACGTGACACCGGGGGGTGGAGGGGCTGGGAATTTCAGGGATTAAAAGCGTATTGGAGGGTTGTCCCCGGTTTTACAGGAGGGAAAACGTCTCCTCTGTGCCGGGATGCCTGAGACAGAACAAGGGGAGCCACAGGGGGCCGCAGAAAGGGCCGCCGCCCATCAGGGATCTCCGCAGCACCGAACCCACCGCGCCGGGAAACCCCGGGGGGGGAAAAGAGTCACCACCCCAGATGGGACTCGAACCCACAATCCCTGGCTTAGGAGGCCAGTGCCTTATCCATTAGGCCACTGGGGCGCGCACGATTCGAATTTGTGCGTCCTCACTTAACTCTCTGATGGCCAGAGGGGAGCGCGGACGCTCCGCATGAAGATGGGGGGTCCCGCACAGTATTCCCAGAGCTCCCCGCTCTGAACGGCCCTCGGAGCAAAGCCCCGCTCCCCCGCCAGGCCACGCAGCCCCCTCCCCGCTCCATCTCCCCCTCGAACCGCCCACAAACGCCATCGCGGGGTGCGGGGAGGGATGGAGATCCCCGCGCAGCCCCGCGACGCCCGCCCGGCTCACCCCCCGCCGGAGGGGCCGCTGCCCGAGGCCGGTTTTTAGTGCAATAAAGCCCCGAATTTAGTGCAGTGATTCCCCCGGGAACGGGGCCTTCCCGAAGCCGTTCCGGTTCGCTCCGGACCCCGCGGGGAGCGCGGCTGTGCCGCGGCCTCGGTGGCCGAGCGGAAAAGGCGCCGGACCCCGAATGGAGGGGTCACAGGTTCGATCTCTGCCCGCGGTGTGACAGCACCGGCTGCCCCCGCTCAGCGCAGCAGCGCCTCGCAGACGGGGGCGTGTGGGGACAACCCAACAACCCACCAACGCCATTAACAGAGAGAGGGAGCTCTGCCCCTCCCTCCGCCAGTAACTCACCGAACCTGCAGTACGGAAAAGCACGAAACTGCTTCGCCCCTTCATTTTCCCAGGAACCGGCCCCAGCTGAGTCTCAGAGACCCCCCGCCCGGCAGCAGTTCCAAGTATTGCCTCGCCTTTGGGCAGGAACGGCTCCGGACACGGATTTGCGAGGCAGATTTCCTCCCTAAATCTGCCCCCTGCATGGGCACGTTCCCTCCACTTTGCCCCGCTGATCCCTCCCGGGGGTTCTCACCCCTCTGGGAGCCACCGCCGGGGGAAATTAAACGCCTGAGATGTCTCTCGTGGCTTTAAAACAACCACGAAGGGACTCGAACCCTCAATCTTCTGATCCGAAGTCAGACGCCTTATCCATTAGGCCACGTGGTCCCCCGTAGAGGTGCAACAGGGCAGTGTCACAAACCGGGGGGTCCCCGGGTGCCCCCGGGTGCCCCTGCGTGTCACCTGGACCCACCCCTGTGTCACCCGTGCTCATCCCTGTGTCACCTGTACCCATCCTGTGTCACCTGTACCCACCCCTGTGTCACCTGGACCCACCCTGTGTCACCTGTACCCACCCCTGTGTCACCCGTGCTCATCCCTGTGTCACTCGTGCTCATCCCTGACACCCCCTGTGCATCCCCCACACTCCATCCCTTCTGGGAGTGTGGCTGTTCCTCGCAGCCCAACACTGGCAATAGGGCTCTCCCCCCAAGGGCCTCCCTGTGCCAGAGGGTCAGTGTAAATGTGACAGTCACAGTGTCACTGAGCAGCCAGTGACGGCTCCATTACAGTATAATAGTGTAACACCACGGACCTCATTCACCTCCTGTTTCTTATCAACGACACCCCCTCCCTTCTCCTCCCACTGCATCTCCTCTTCCCAAAACCCGTGTTTCTCATCTAATCCCCAAAAAGTTTCCCAAACCCCACCACAGGGCAGAAAGATATTTTTAATCAGCAGTCCAGCGCCCAGGGCTTTGGCAGGCTTGCTGCTTTCCAGGCAGCAGAGCCCTTTCTTCCCACACCTAAGAGAGAAAAACTACTTAGAAAGAAACTTCGCTCTATGTTTTCCTCATGTGATATCACCCTGACCACAGCTGGCTTTTAAAATCCATTAACTCCGTAGGAAAAGACCCTCCAAGCAGCTTTTTAATGCCACAAATCTGAGAGGGCATTATCCCGAAGGCACTTACGGGGAGGCCTTTGGTCCCAGGGCAGCACAGCCAAACACTGTGACCCCGATGACCAGTGCTCCATGGAGATGTTGTTTCTGGTAGAGTAAAACTTCCCATCCAAGCTTGTCCTGCTCCGGGAACAGGTTTGGGAAACACCTGCAAGGTGGTCATGCCCCAGCATAGATGGGCTTCTTGTTGGGACTTGGATGCAGCCGATGATATAGGGAGCACCTGGAGGGGGTAAAAGTACATCTGAAATTCCCTGCTCAGCCCTGACTCAACATAGACCCAGCTCTGCCCAGACAAAGATAATTAAACAGCTGTAATTGCTCTGCTTTGGCACCTTCTGGGACACCTTGAAGGATGTCCATGCCTCACCCAGAACCGTCCTTTCACTAATATCCCACCAAAAATCAGCCTTTCGTTAACACCCCTCCAAAAATCAGCCTTTTTATTAACACCTCTCCAAAAATCAGCCTTTCATCCACAGGTCCCAAGGCAAAGCTGGTTGTTATTCCCTCGGTCACAGCCTCACTTGAGCACTGGGCACGTGGGACCGTAAAACCAGCCCGGGGCAGTTTGTAGCTGCTCCTCATTGTTTCTCCTTCCCAGGGTATCTAAATTAGGGACCACTGACCTGGAGCAGACAACTCACCTGTCAGCATCACGTGCAGCAGCTGTTGGCACAGGGAGAGAGCCTGGAGCTGCCAGGGGGATCTTGCTGCCCCAAAACACGCCATGGACCACCCCGACCTCCCTCTCTGGTGCCGTGCTCAGACTCAGTTGTTCCTCAGCACTTCTGGATTCTCCCGGTGCATCAACCTCCTTAGCTGGCATCTCCCACCGGGCTGGGGAAAGTCTTCCCACCAAGCAGCCAGAGCCAGTGCCCCGCGGGCAGGGGCAGGAGCAGAGGAGGAGGATGGAGGACGAGGAGAGGAGGAGGCCTGGCGCGCTGAAACGGGGAGAAAGAGCGCAGAAATGGAGTTGGCAGCAGCAAAAGGGGCAGGCTCACCCCAGATGGGACTCGAACTCCAAAATCCCTGGCTTAGGATGCCAGCTGCACTTATACCATTGAGGCCACTGGGCATGCGGCAGGGCGCGCGCCCCCCCCGCAGGGAACGGCCCCAGACCCGCGCCCGGCCCCGGTTACCACCCGCGGATCTGCGGGATGGGGGGACACCTGGCCACCCCAGGGCCGGGCGGGCGAGCCTGGGTTCGCCTTTCCCCTTCACCCGCGGAGGGAGAGAGACGCCAGGAGGAGAAGCGGGAAAAGATAGTTTAAAAGTAGGGAAAGGGGGAAAAAAGTACCGACCACGAAGGGACTCGAACCCTCAATCTGCTGATCCGAAGTCAGACGCCTTATCATTTTGCCACGCGGTCGGCTGACGCTGCAGCCCCCAGTGATGCTGCCAAGCCCGCATCCCCCCCGGCCCCTCCCGGGTTACCCGGAGCCCTCGGGCACAGCAGGCTGGGAAGGGGGGCTGGGGGGGACAACGGGGGTACGGAGGACACGGGGGGGCTGGGGGGACCACGGGAGTACAGGAGGGACACAGGGGCTGGGGGACACGGGGGTACAGTAGGACACAGAAGGCTGTGGTGGGACAAGGGT